ATCCATCCATCCATCCATCCATCCATCCATCCATCCATCCATCCATCATCTTAACCACTTCTTCCTTTTCAAGTTACGGGGTCACTGGTGCCCATGTCCAGCTCTTACTGTATAAGAGGTGGGGGACATCTGAAAAGGTCTCCAGTCCATCACAGAGACACAGAGACAAACGAGACAAACAACCATTCTCTCACCTAGCGACAATTTAGAGTTACCAATCAGTGTAACATGCACATTTTTGGTCTGTGGGAGGAAACTGGAGCACCCGGAGAAAACCCACGCATGCACGGAGAGAACATGCAAACTCCACCCAGAAAGGCCCCCCGGCTGCTAATGTCAATAAAAACTGAAGCCACTTTACACTTTATTAAACCCAGTTAAGACAAAGGATCTATCAAACATTCAGATGCAGGAAGTGATAACATCAACAGCAGAAGCATGGCACAGCTCCGTTAGGCACTGACACTGAGACACAAGTTCAAGTCCTAAAATGCATTTAAAATATCAAGTCATTATCTTTAGAGCTTCAAACATGACAGGTTTTTACTGGACCAACACCTTTGACTGGACACAGACACACATTGTTACACAACCTCACTGAACAACAGAGAAATTAAATGTTTTGATTCATCTGAGAATCAACATAATTACAAAATGGCCTTCATCAGACATTCTTTATGTTTGGCACTAAATAGCTTCCATACATTACACAGATATGTTTCCTTTTTTTAAATCAAACTTCAAAATAAAACTATTAAACAGATTAAAAACAAGTTTGTTAAACTGTAGATGAGACTAAACAACATATGATGGACAAACTTTATAGAACAAATCCTAAAAGAAGTCATGAGCCAACATCTAGTCAGAATGCGGCTTAGACCAAAGTGGATCAGTCCTGGGCTCAAACAGAACACCAGGTCCAAAGAACCACAGACTCAGACACTTCCACTGCCTTTACGAGTGCATGACAGGAAGAGCTCAAGGGTGTACCAGAAGTTTTTTTTTTTGTTTGTTTGTTTAAATTTGACACATTTTAAAAAGAAACCAAACAAAGTTGTAGAAATTATGGTCCCAAAGGTGCTGCAGCTCCATCATATGGAAAAATACCACAGCTTTGCTCCTTAGAATTTTATAACTCTGGTACAGAAACCAGAACTGAACCACCTGATTTAGTCCCTGGGTTTGTTGTGTTGGAGCAGAAGAACAGGTCCTGGAGGACCAGGATAATCATGGTCAGAAGAGACAACGTGCCCCCGTCATCCTCTTTGATCTTTGCTGCCTTCATACCAGCCATTAAATCATCAGTCACCAAACTGAGGTAATTCAAAGAGCTATCTACACCAATCCTATTCAAATAGCCAGAATGTCCCTTTAGGGACATCATCACGATGAAGCATCCTTTTTATCTTTTTGATTTTGTGAACATGTTGCCAAGTTTCATCTAAATGAAGCTGAAACGTAACAAAGTCTTTTAAAGAGCTGAAGCAGAACTTTGTGATAGGCTGATGAAGGGTTCAAACGACGGGACTTTCCATCTAACGCTGCAGCAACGCAACCTGAACCTCCACTCACACCTGTGCAGGTGCACATTACAGGAAGTGTTTGTTTCCACTGAGCTAACAACTCGTTTTAGACCCCGTTTACACGAGAACAACCTCTGGAAACGTTAGTGGCTTTTCAATATTTATAAACAAAAAATGAGCAGGTTTATACAAAAACGATGTAGTTTCCATGTCAGTCGTGTTGCCAGATAAGAAATTATGAACTGCAGTACTTTGGCTTTAAAATTATAGTATTTTCACCTAAACTGTCATATGAGCTGAGTAAAGATATTCTAAGATGAGGTGTGTCGTGTTTATTTAACATGTGCACAGAAAAGGAGGGGTAAATAAGACATTTTACATTTACCTGGCAACCCTCATCACACAGTTACTTTCAAATTGGTTAATACACTAATATATTTTTGTAACTGGATTTTATTAGTTTTGCTCCTACATGCTGAAAAAGGGTGAGCAGCTCACAAACACTCTGCTCTCTGACATTTATTGGGGACTGCCTGAAGGCAGCCCCTGTTATTATCCACCCGAAAGGGTCTTGCTTGTCCATCAACTTTAATGCGGCCCAAACGACAACGTGTACCCCCACAAATATTATATCAAAATGACCGGCTCGGCACCGTGATGCGTGCTATTACTTTTTTTTTTTTTGCATTTGGAGTTACCATGGCGATGTAATTTGTAAACAAAGACACTATTTTTCTCATTGAAAACACTGACAGAACTCTGAACAGCTTCTAACTGCCACAGTGAGGTCACATGACCGAGAGTGAAGAGGTCTCTGAAAAAATACTGATTAACTTTTGAAGCCATTTTGGTTCAAGATGTCTGCCACAGCTACCTCAGAAAACTGAAAATTGACCAAAACTCAGTCTTTCTTTGAGATACTGAGCTGAAATTTGATATGGTTGTAGATGAGAGAAAGTTGTTATACATTCCTGATGCAAATTAAAAATCCAAGATTGCCACCTTAGCTAAAAGGGAAAAATACGATAACAGTTATCTTAAAAGATTTTTAGATAAAATTTAGTGTGGTGGTACCTGACAGCAATGCACAACACATTCTGAATTCAAATCTAAAAATACAAGATGGCTGCCGACCCTAATTCCAAATGGCTATAACTCATCTGTTTTTAGAGCTATTCAGCTGAGATTTGGTGTATTGGTAGCTGAGAACAATCCCTAATAGACTCTAATAGCAAATCAAAAATTCAAGATGGCTGTCTAAGCTAAAAAGGAAAAACACTATAAATCTATAAATTTTAGTGATATTTTGAGATATTTGGTGGGTTGGTAGCTGAGAGTGAACCCCAACACAAAGTACTGTCAAATCAACTATTTAAAATACCCGTGATGTGGCAGTCCTTGTCACAGTTTCTCTACGAACTTTCTAACTGTTGTTAATGCAGAAAAACTTTGGACTGCAGCCACCTGTAGTGCACATGTGCAACTTCACACTTCACACCTCCGTGGGGAGTTAACAGCTGAACGTTTCACATCGTGTAAACGGGGCCTCAGTTTGACCAAAAGTCTGAATGTGTTTGCAGTAGGGCTGTTTTTGTTTATATGTATATTTTGTTGTTTTTTTGTTTACAAAGCTGTTTTGAAGGATGGACATTGTTAAATATAAATGTTCAATCAGAAGATTAAAAGCAGTGTTGTTTGAACATCTGGGATCTGGAGACAAAATGCTCATAGAAGAGTTGGATTTGACCAAACAGCGACGTGTCTCCTGTTCAACATCAAACGGTTTCAGTGTGAACCTCTGGCATGGCGGCGGGTGACATTCTTTAAGGATTATTTTTTAATTATACAGCTCCATGCTCACAAAACCAAACACTTACAGACAAACATTCTCAGAAAATATTTCTACGAGCCAGAATCAGACTGCTGGATCTGCAGGAAACTGGATCAAGATGGGTTCAGGGGAAACCTGGTGACCCCCCCTCAGTCAGGGTTTTGAAATGGACAGACAACGTCTCCTCCTCTGGGTTTGGTGGGCGTCTGTATTCTTCCCTGGTCATCAGGTAACAAAGCACCCCCCCATAGAGCACCAACAGGATCCCCAAGACGTTGGCCAGCATGCCCTCAGGGGCGAACAGGGAGTAGGTGGATCTGGGAAAGAAGAAAGGATCAGAACTTAAGAGGCAGGACTGCATGGTTTGGGAGCAGCAAATGCTACAGAAATGTGGAGAAATGTGTTTTAGGATAATTTTTCCGAACTACTCAGACCACCCCCACACTGGATGGGACCTGAACTTCAGCCCAAACCTCAATGAAAAACTGGTCATGACCCACATCTGTAGAGTTTCTGGGTTTTGTCCTGTCTCTGACTGTTTCCTCATGCTTCCAATTCAGCTCTCATTTTCCCTCCGTGTGTTCAGTCCTTCTCTCACCTGTGTCTAATGTTAATCACTGCAGGTGTCTGTTGTTTGTTCCAATCAGTCTGTGTATATATTCAGTTCCTCTGCATCTTGTCTTGTCTCGGGATTGTCCTTATGGTGTTGTGTTCTGCCTTCAGTCCTGTTACCTTCTGTAAGTACGCTGCCCCATCAGCGTTTTGATTTTGTTTATCATAAATTTGTTTAAACCTTTATGTCGAGCCTCCCATTATCCTCCTGCACTTGGGTTCAAACACTCCTGATTGCTGAACCTGATAGAATCCCGAGACCAAATTTGAACCCAGCAGGAAGATGACAACTTTGTTTGAGTTTTTGGCCCGTGAGGTGAATAAAACTGCCCAACGTGACAGAGAGAAGGAGGAGAGAAGGAAGACTCTGTTTTGGACGACCTGCTTGGCCATTAAACCTGGATCCTCAGCCTCACCATCCCTCTCCCCCTCATCTAATTATCTCGCTGCTGCACCCCACTGCCCACCTCCTCCTGGCTGTCCTGAACAATCGTTGGCGAGAGGGGGGCGAATCGCTGGTCCTCCCCTTCGCAAGAAGGGGAGAACTTTGCAAGCAAGGGAAAAGCTCAGGCCTCTGTCACCGGAGGAACGGCGGAAATTTCTCTGGGGGAAGGCACCCGTATACGCCAGAGGAGCAGCCCGGCTATCGCTCACTGGAAGAGCGAGGGGGGAGTTCACTGGGAAAGAGATACCTGTGCCCCCACTTTCCGGAGGAGCAACCCAGCTTCCCCTTGCTGGAGGAGCTGGAGCGGTGGAAGGCTTCACTGGTGGTGATGTATCCGGATCCACCCAGCCGTGAGGAGGTCCAGGCGGACTCCTCTCTTCCGCACAGCTGCGAAGAGGTCCAGGCGGACGCTCCTCACTCCTGCTCGCCTGAGGATTCCACTCCTGCAGAGCTTCTGGTCCCCGCCTCTGCAGAGGTTCTGGACTCTCCTGCTGCAGCCCTGACTCTATCACCTGCTGTAGTCTCGACTGCACCATCTGCTGCAGCCCAGACTCCATCCTTTCCTGATACAGCCCTGACCCCCATTCCTGGCCCTCCTGCTGTGGCTCTGGTCTCTGGCCCTCCTGCTGCAGCTCTGGATCCTGGTTCTTCAGCTGCGGCTCTGGTCCCTGGTTCGCCCGAGGAGGTCCACATCCCTGGTTCGGCTCTGGAGGCCCTTATCTGCCTGCGGCCAGGAGAACGCCCCTGCTGCCCACAGATGAATGGTCATCTGGCTGCCCGTTGGGACCCTGGCTTGGGGATGGATAGTTTCTAGGCCGCCCCCCTGATCTCCTGCCTTGTTGGGGACAGTCACCGGACTGCCTGTCTGAACATCAGACCTGCCTTGGATGGTCTCCTGACTGTCCATTTTGACTCTGGGTTGGGGTCCTGGGTTTTGTGTTGTGTCTTTAGAGTTCTCCAGGTTTTTTGCCTGTCGGTTTTTGATTCTTTTGGTCCTGTGCTTACTTGTCCTGCTCCATCCTGTTTTGTCTAGCTCCCTCCCAAGTTGGATGTATCTTGTCCTTCGGATGTCAGGAGCCATCCCTTGAGGGGGGGTGGGGGTATACTGTAGGGTTTCTGTTTTTTTTCCTGTCACTGTCTGTTTCCTCATGTTTCCCATTCAGCTCACAAAATTTTCCCTCCTTGTGTTCAGCCCTTGACTGACCTGTGTCTAATGTTAATGTAGTGGTGTCAGGGCCAGCTTAGCTGCACCTTTCATTACTAAGTATTTAAATATAATGGGTTCTCTCTTTTTCGAGTTAAATTAAGGCCATGTGACAAGGTACTGTGAGGATTGTGTTTAAATCAGTGACATGAGACGTTAATTTCCGTTGACCCATCAGAATAAATGCGGTCATTTATTTAACAGAATCAAAATTTAACATCAAAATATGTACACGTGATTAGCTGATCTGGTTCTTATTAATAAAACTTGGCACGTTTTACTTAATAAGACAAGACATTTCTGAAAGCATTTAGATTACTGGCAAAATAGAAGAGTTTTAAAGGAAGGAATGAAGAGAAAAGATGGGTAAAAGGGGGGTGTCTGTTCGGACAGCAGAATGGCACGCTCCCGTCAACACCAGCTCAAAACCTCCGGTACACTTGGCGCGTCACGACTCGTTACCTTTGCAGAAATTAATCAGCTCCGATGTCGGGTCCATTTAAACGCTACCTTCCAGCGTCTTCGGTAAGAGCGGCTGGCCATCGTCAGGAGTCGTGTCGTTTACTCCGTTCAACAAACACGCTCATCTCCCGGGTGGATACACAGCAAGCTGTCAGTCCGGCAGAGTTTCCACTCAGATATGGGAGAATCCATCAAAGACTCAGGAGACTCAGGAGACTGAGAACTCTCGAGAAGACTTGAGAAGACCGAGAAGACCTGAAGACTTCACCAGAGACTGAGTAGTTCCAGGAAGTATGGACTTTTAAAGAGTTCTTACTTCCGGTCACCTCAGGACTTCCTGATTGGTTGAAACAACCAACAGGGGGTGGTTCTAGTGATGTCAGAGGGTGACTACAAGTCAAGAGAACAGCAGGAATGTTTTAGGAACTTTTAGTACAGACAGGAGAAATGTTTTGAAGAAGTGAGAGCAAGCAGGTGCCAGTGTTTCTCTTTTTACCGTCTGCTAAGTTTAAAAACAATACAGCCTGTTCTAAAAACTTCTTTCTGACTGTCTCTGACTTTTGACCGACATCACTACTTCTCATTCAGACAGAAGATCAAAATGCATAATTACTTTGTAAATAGACATTTAACTTGATTTCTAATTTTAACGAGGTGTAAAAAAAATCCTTAATACTGTTTCACAGTTGATTTAAAATGAGTAGTTCATTTCAACTTTAGAAATGATATGAACTAAACACACTTTTGATTATCAAGATATTGTAAAATAGTAATGATAATATAAAAAGAAGAGTGTTCTTTCAATTGATTACTTTAGGATACAATTAGACAGTCTCTGGATGAGCTAATTTGTATTTCTGGATTCAAATCAATGAAATAACAGTTCCTGTCCCATGAAGGTCTTCAGAGGCAGGTTTTGGTCGGAGGCCGAGTTCACTACATTAATCACTGCAGGTGTCTGTTATTTGTTCTAATCAGTATGTGTATATATTCAGTTCCTCTGCGTCCTGTCTTTGTCTCGGAATTGTCCTTATGGTGTTGTGTTCTGCCTTCCATCCTGTTACCTGTTCACTCTGTAAGTAAGCTGCCCCGTCAGCATTTTGATTTAGTTTATAAAAAAAAATGTTTAAACCTTTACTTCGAACCTCCTATTATCCTCCTACACTTGGGTTCAAACACTCCTGATGGCTGAACTAGATAACATCAAAACAACCATCAACATACCATACCATACCATACCAATTCATCTGTAGAGCACTTAAAACAGCAACAAGGCCAACCAAAGTGCTGTACAATAGAAACGAACAAGCACAGCGGACAGGAAGACATAAAATAAAAATATAGATACAAATAGCAGCAGATAATAACTAAATAGGCAACACTGTAGAATACAGACAGGATCAAAACAAATCACATTGTGTCAAAGGCAAGGGAATAAAAGTGGGGTTTCAAGCAAGACTTAAAGACTGAGTGTGAGAGCCTGCCTGGCACACAGTGGCAAATCATTCCACAGTCTTGGACCTGCAACAGAGAAAGCCCTGTCACCTCTGAGGGTGCATTCACACTAGCCCCGTTTAGGCCGCTTTAATCGAACTCAAACTCGTTTTCCTAGGAAGTCCGGTTCGTTTGGGGAGGTGTGAACGCGCTATCAAACTCTTTCACGGAACAAAAAGGCGAACTCTGGCCCGGGCTAAAACCTAGGTCTCGGTCCGGTAGAAGAGAACTCCAGCGCAGTTTGAGTATAGTGTGAATGTAAGCAGACCGAGCCCTGCTCCACAAGCAAGAAGTGTACTACAGCGCAGGGCAAACAAACACGCATTTCTCTGACCTTATCTGGAGCCGTCAGCTGCCTTGTGTGAAAAACAACATTCTCCATGGTCTTCTGCCTCATCTTCTGCTCATGCTGAGTCCATTTTTGAAAAATGACAAAGTATAACTCCTAAAACTGCTAAAACTTGATGCCACTCCATTTTTGTTTTTATTTCCAGAAGAAGAAGAAAAAGAAGAAGTGTCTTCAGAGGTTTTTGTGTTGTTTTTTTCAGTAGTTCTTGGTGCAGCGCCACCACAGGCGAGTGGGGGAACGGTTGGTTTGAACAGGTTGGCTCGACTGCACAGTGCAGTGTGAATGCAAACGCACCAGCTCAAATGTAAACAAAATGTTATGAATATTGGTCCCCAACCGAACCGAGTCTATCGGATTATCAGGTGTAAAAACAACCTGAGTTTATGACGGGTTCCTGGAACTGAAAAAAGCATCTGGTCTGCTGACCTCAAAGAGCACGGTGGGACATATGGCTGCAAAAGATCAGTGAGATAAGATGGGGCAGAACTGTTCAGTGATTTAAAAACATACATGAGTATTTTGAACTGGATCCGAAGGTGAATGGGTAGCCAGGGCATGGAGGCTAAAACTGGTGTAATGTGCTCTCTATGGCCTGCACCAGTTAAAAATTGGGCTGCTGCATTTTGGACCAGTTGTAGACATGCATTGGAAGACTGACTGATTCCAAACAGAAGCACATTGCAGTAATCGAGCCTGGATGTTATGAACGCATGGATCACTGTCTCAAGATTCTTTTTGGACAGTATGGGCT